TCCTCCAGATTGTTCATCCAGCCTATTTTATTTAGACAGACCTGCGGAGATAACATGCACAAAAACAAGACAGAGCAAAACCAAGCAACAAAAGAAAACAAGACAACAACAACAACAACAAACAAATGACAAAAAGACAAAACAAAACACAATAGAAGAAAGAAAAGCTTGTAGTTAGTTCAAGGACTGTTTGTTGGCCTTTAGGAGTGTTTTCTGGTTGAGTCTGATGGTGCACCAAGCCCTGGCCCCAAAGTCTGTTTTCGGTGTTCACTGGGGACTTCGTTGTCCTGTTCCCCTTGCTGTTCTGTTTTGTGCCCTTAGTATTTTGCCTCGGTGTGGTGGGATCAAAATGGGCGGAATTCCCACACTGTTTCTCCAGTGTTCCCTGTAGGACAATGGGTCAGTGAGGGATGTCGTGTGTCCTAGTGGGGCCAGCCATATGGTCTTCTCTGGATTGGCTGCTCTGAGCAGGAATATCGTCCTCAAGCGTGGTCGGCCAGGATGTGCTCCACTCTCTCTTCCTCCCCCTTCATTTGCTCCTGTGTGCTCTGATCAGACATATCCCTCTCCCCGAGCTGCAGGTTCAGTGCTGTCTTCTGAAATAAATACTTCTGGGGGGAGGGGCAGGTGTCCACGTAGTTGGGATTAGGGCCGCCCCTCAGACCTCTCCACTGGTTCCCTACTCCATGCCAAAATACTGCATATTTTTAAGAGTATGTATACCTACACATGTGTAGGGGTTTTTTTGTTTATAGTTTCTTAATTCTTGAAGTTTATTGTTACCGTAAGTGCTTTACTTGCTTGCTACTAGCCGTAAGATTGACAGTTTGAGTTTACTCAGAGGCAGGCATCTTCAAAGAAATACCGGACTATATATAGCCCCAAACTAGCCACTGTAAATCCTGTGGAGCACAGTTCTACTGTGATACTGTGGAGTCACCATGCCTTGCCCAACAATAAGTAAAAAGAATTTATATAGACATACAACTTTTTTTTGTTTTCTTTGGCACCTAACTGCACCCATTCTGGTAGCTTTTTGATAGATTTCATACCACATTCTAAATAGCCTACATACCATCTGTCAATAAAGGCAGTTTTACTTATTCTATACTGTTTTCTATAGAAGCTCTGATGGTATAGAGGTTATGTGCTAGGCTGCTTACTGCAAGGTTTGAAGCAACTAGCCACTCAGTAGGAGAAAGATAAGGCTTTTTACTCCAGGAAAGATACACAGTCTTGAAACCCACAGGGGCAGTTCTACCCTGTCATATAAGGTTACTATGAGCTAGAATCAACTAGATGGCAGTGAAATAATTTGTTCTCTACCGTATTGCACTTTCTAGAACTCCTGTTGCAATGTTGAATACAAGTTGTCTGAGTAGACTGCTTACATTATTCCTCCACTCAGTTTTCATCCTGGTGGTAAACCAGTCGCCATTGAGTCCATTCTTGACTATAGTGAGCTCATGTTGTCAGAGTAAAGTTACTCACATAGATGCTCCCCATCAAATTGAGAAAACTCTTTTACTTCTAGTCTGAGTGTTTTTATTAAGCTCCACTTACTCACCACTGAGTTGATGCTGACTTATAGTGACTCTATAGGACAGGGTAGAACTTCCCCAGTGAGTTTCCAAAACTTTAGCTCTTTACAGGAGTAGAAAGCTCTTATATCAAAACCAGACAAAGACATTACAAGAAAATGTAAAGCCACCAGCTGGTTCCATGGAAGGACCATGGAACCAGCTAGTGGCTTCAAACTGCTGACCTTGTGATTACCAGCCCAATGAGTAGCCACTATGTCACCAGCACTCCTTTTATAGGTAGTAACTGATGACTTTTTATCAGATATTTCTTTTTATTCAGTTAATAGGTTGAATGACATTGATGTCTAAATGTTATCCCTGCATCCCTTTGGTAATCCTACTTTGTCCATTATGTACCATTCCATTTATATTTTTGTTAGATTTAATTTGCTAAAGTTTTGTTACAAGGTTTTCAATTTGTGTTCATAACAGGTACTGACCTACAGTTTGGTTATTTTTCTTGTAATGTCTTTGTCTGGTTTTGATATCAGGTTAATGTTAGCTAAATAGAACAAGTTGGTATTCCCTTTTCTCCCGATTTTCTGGAAGTGTTTCTATAGTTATCAATATTTCTTAAATATTTGGTAAAATTCATCAGTGAAGTTATTTAATAAACTTGTGCTTTTTTGCATGTGGATTTTTAACTGCAGAACCAACTTCTTAAAGTGATAAAGGGCTAGAGTATCTACTTTTTTAAGTAGATACCAAATTATTTCTTTTAATTTTTTGTTGAAATTACTTTTTAAAAATAATGGATGGCATTTTGAATGAAATGGGGAGAAAATGTGAAGTATTACAAAATTTGATGCAATTAGTGGGGCACATATATCCCATGGGTCTCTGGGCTTAGTGGGATGAGGCTAGTTTCTTTAAGTTCATGCAGTTGTTCAGTCCTCCACCAGATGGCAGCATGCACTACAGGTGGGATAATAGCCCTTCACTAAACCGCAGAGGTGGAAAATATAGGTGAGCACTAGCAAGGCTAAAATATTTATATATTTCATATAAATTAATGAATTCAATTATCATAAAATAGATACAATTTTCTTAGTACTATTTTTATAGCTATAGAACCTAACATTATGCAACCTAGATCAGTCTTTGATATCAGTACTTTGTGTCGTCTTTCTTGATTAATTTGGCTAGAGATTAATTTTATTTATCTTTCATAAAGAACCAACTTTTGGTTTCATTGAGTCTCCCCCTTCCCCCCTGTTGTTTTCTGGTTTGTGTCTTACCAATTTCCAATGTTATTTCTATTATTTCCTTTTCCTCCTAATTTGGATTTCGTTTAACTTTTTTTAGGTGGAATCAGCACTGAAGTCATTAATTTGAGACTTTTTCCCAACATAAGTTTTTATTTAGTCCTTCACATTTTCCTGTATGTACTGCTTTAGGTACATCCCAGAAATGTTTATATATTGTATGTTATTTTGTTTATTTCAAAGTACTTTCTAATTTTCTCATTTGGACCAAGGGTGATTGAAATTTCCAGATATCTTACTGTTGATTTCCTAGTGGTCAGAGATCACTTTGTATAATGGTAATATCACTTTTAAAATTTATTGAGACTTAACCTTTTTTGCACCTTTTTTTTGACTCATCGTGACCCGATAGAGCAGAACTGACCCTTTGAGTGTCTCGGATTATAACTCTTTATGAGAGTAGAAAGCCTTGTCTTTCTCAGAACAGCCAGTGATTTTGAACTGCTGACCTAGCAGTTAGCAGTCCAAGGAGTAACCACTACCCTACCAGAGCTAACTCACAGGGTTTCTGAAGCTGTAAATCTTTATGGGAGCAGGTAGCTTCATCTTTCTCACACAGCTGGTTTGAACCACTGACCCAGTGGTTTGCAGTCTAACACTTACTCAACAGCACCACCAGGGAATGATAGTGTTCTTCAAATCGTCTGAATTAGCAGTTCTTAACCTATGGGTCATGATCCCTTTGGGGGTTGAACGACCCTTTTACAGGAGTTGCCTAAGACCCTTGGAAAGCACATAATTCTGATGGTCTTAGGAACCCAGACACTGCTCCTCGAGCCACTTCCAGGTGGGTCCACCCACATGCAGATACGCCCACATATGAGTACCCGGCATGAAGACTGTTACCCATGGTACACCATGCTTCAAGACAAAATTTCATCTATTTGTCATTAGAAATAAATATTTCACAATATATAATGACATTATTTTGGTGATTCATCACTATCTTTAAATGATGCTCAATTTGTAACAATGAAAATACATCCTATCAGATATTTATATGACAATTCATAACAGCAAAATTAGTTATGAAGTAGCAACGAAAATAATTTTGTGGTTGGGAGTCATCACAACATGAGGAACTGTATTAATGGGTCGCGGCATTAGGAAGGTTGAAAACCGCTGTTCTATGTCCTTACCAGTTTTCTATGTGCCTCTTCTATCAATTATACATGAATTACGAAGAATGAGGCTGAGAAATAGAATGTATTCCTTACGGTTTGTGAAAGAGTGGGTATCTACTGAGCATCAATGAGCAATGAAAAGGGGGTAAGGGTTAGGGTACAGAGACTGATGAGGGAGGGAAATTGACGAGCTAATGAGGGTGAAAGATTGTTATTAAACTAAAAAAATGAAGAAGGGAGTTCAATAATACCATTATAATTAGTTGATATTTAGAATGGTGTATGAATTTTTTTATCAAATCTCAGCTTTATATAATAGATAAGCATTATGAAGGCAAAATGAAGGTGAGTTGCCTGTTTAACACTTAAATACTTTGTCTTAAACAAAATTGCTTTAAAAATATTGACCCATTTTAAAAGTAAACGAAGAATGATGTATTTGGTTTTGTTGTTGTTTTTTTAAGCTCTCTGATACTTCTGATTTACCAAGGAATGCCTTTAGAATTTTTACCATTCTTGTGGAATTTTTATGTATTGAACATATTGATTATGCTTTGGAAACCGGACTTGCTGGTAAGTATATTTCTGTTATATACATATTTTAATTATTTTCATCGTGCTTGGGTAAGCCGTGTGCATAATAGTTTTTATACAGTCATTTCTATATTTTGAATTCAGATCAGTACAAAGAATAATGTTTTTGAGCATATAGAAGGCAAGGATTTGCCAGGTGCTGAAAGCTATAGAAAAGACATAGTTTCCTCAGATTATTTATATCCAGGTAGGGTTGATAGGCTATACAATCACTACAATGAATAACCAAATGTCTTATGATACTATGAGTTATAAAATGTCTAGGGAGCACAAATGAAGGTAAGAACAATTCTGGTTGGGGGATTTGAGTAATGTGAGTTTTAGAACCACATTTTGGATGTCAGTTTGTCATCCAAAATAAACAGCTTTCAGCAGAGCTTACAGTCTACTAAGAAGGAGTTTCCAGGCTATCCACTTCTAAGGAATGGGTCACTGAAACCCATTGAAACATTCATTTAGCTATTGAAAATCTCTATGGGTAGTATCAAAACCGTATCAGTTACTGAATAGAAGCAAAGCATTGTCAGAGATAGTGCCAGAAGATGAGCCTCCCTTGTTAGAATGCATTCAAAATAGGGTTGAGGTAAAGCTGCCTTGTCGAAGTAGAATCGACCATGATACTGTGGATGGAGGAAGGCCTCCAGGAGTAAAGCCTTTGGGATCTTCCTTTGCTCATGGGGCACAACTCAAAATAACAAACAGCTGCAAACGATTAATAATATGTACTTGGAATGTGCAAAGTATGAAACTAGGAAAATTGAAAGTTATCAAATGGAATGTATTATGATCGATATTCTAGGTGCTAATGAGCTGAAATGCACTGGTATTGGCCATTATGAATCAAAATCATGTGTTTGCTATGCTGTGAATGATAGATTCAAGAGGAATACGGCATCAGAAGGCACTTCTAGATCAATCTTGAGCTACATGCTGTGTGTGATAAGATAATATCCACATACAAGGAGATTCAGTCAATACAACTATTATTCAAATTTACTCACCAACTACTAAAGCTGATGACGCAGAAATTGAAGAATTCTACCTACATCTTCAGTCTGAAATTGGCCAAATGTACGATAAAGATGTATTTATAGTTATTGGTAATTTAGAATGCAAAAAGTTGTAAACCAGATAGAACAGTAATTGGAAAATATGGTCTTGGTAATAGAAATGAAGCTGGAGATCACATGATAGAATTTTTCAAGACTAATAATTTCTTCATCACAAATACCTTTTTCAACAACACAAACTATACAGTCACACTTTTCCAGATGGAATACTCAGAAATCAAATTGACTGTATCTGTGGAAAGAGACTATGAAGAAGCTCAATATTGGCAACTAAAACCAGGCCAAGGGTCAACTGTAGAACAGATTATCAATTGCTCATATATTCAGTTTGAAGCTGAAGAAACTTAAAACATCCAACAGATTCAAAATATGACCTTCAGGCCATCCCGCCAGAATTTCACGAACATCCCCAAAACAGGTTTGACGCCTTGAACACTAATGACAGAAAACCTGATGAGCTATGGCATGACATCAAAAAGATACATGAAGAAAGCAATGCTTCTTAAAAATACAGGAAAGTAAGATCAGCGTGGATTTCAGAAGAGACCCTGAAACTTGCTCCTAAAATAAAGTAGCTAAAGCAAATAGAAAAAATGGTGAAGTCAAAGAACTGAATTTCAGTCAAAGAAGTTTTCAAAGTATAGCTCAAGAATACAAAAGTAAAATATAATGAAATTTGCAGAGACCTAGAGTTAAACCAAAAAGAAAAAAAAACATGTTTAGCATAACTTTAAAAGAACTAAAAAAAATCAAATCTCAAGTTGCAATACTGAACTATACTGTGGGTATTCTGAGAGAGTGAGGGCTTTCTACTCCTTTAAAGAGTTACAATTTCAGATACTCAAAGGGCCCTGTCATAGGGTTGCAATGAGTCGGCAGTGACTCAATGCCAGTGAAGGTTTTTATTTTTTCCCTCCTCCTAATGGACAGAGCACTAAATTATGCAGGAAGCACCAAAAGAAGGTGGAAAGAATACACAGTGTTATGGTGTATACAAAAAGATAGTTGACATTCAACCATTTCAGAAAGTGTAGCATATGATCAAGAATCAAGGGTACTGAAGGAAGAAGTCCAAGCTGCATTGTAAGCATTAACCAAAACCAAAAAGCTCCAGGAATTGATGGGATTCTAATTGAAATGTTTCAGCAAGTTGAAGAAGCACTCAAGTAGGCCAGGAAATTTGAAAGACAGCAACTTGATTAACTGACCAGAAGATAGCCATATTTGTACCCATTCCAAAGAAAGGACCCAGCCTAATTATTTGCACAAATTATACAACAGTATCTTTGATATTACATGCAAGTAAAATTTTGCTGAAGATCATCCCTTAGCTGGTGCAGCAGCACAGTGAGAGAGATCTGCCAAATTCAGAAGAGGACATGGAATGAGAGGAATCATTGGTGATATCAGTTGGATCTTGGCTGCAAGCCTGGCATACCAGAAAGCTGCTTGCTTGTGTTTTATTGACTATGACCAGAAATTCTGTTGTGCGAATTTTAGCAAACTATGGCGATAGCCTTTAGAAGAATGGCAATTTCAAAACACATAATTGTGCTCATGTGACATCAGTGCTTGGGTCAAGAGGCAGTTATTTGAACAGAACAGGGGAATACTTTTTGCTTTGTGTGTGTCATGGTTGTGTCCTGTCTCCATACTTACTCATTATGTATGCAGGCCACATAAGCTGGACTATATGAAGAAGAATGTGACTTCAAGATTGGAGGAAGGCTTATTAACAACCTGCCAAGATTGTGAGTGACACAGTCTTGCTTGGTGAAAGGAGGACTTTGAAGCACTTGCTAATGAAGATCAAGGATTGCAGCCTTCACTATGGATTACAACGCAATGTAAAGAAGACCAAAATCCTCAAAACAGGACCAATAAGTATTATCATGTCAAGGGAGAAAAGGTTGAAGTTGTCAAGGATTTGTTTTTGTTTTTACATTTTTATGGACAACTAATTCACATATAGTTCAGTCGTTCAGTAATATCAAGAAGAACTGTACAGTCATTGCCACAATCAATTTTAGAACATTCCCCACCCCCTACCCCCCCTTGCTTCGGGCTCATGGATCAAATAAATGATGCATCGCATTAGGTAAATCCACTGCACACAACCTCTTTAGTGTGTTAAAAATCAAGGATGTTACTTTGAGAACTAAAGTATGGCTGACTCAAGCCATGGTATTTTCTATCGCCTCCTATGCATGTGAAAGTTGGACACTGAATAAGGAAGACTGAAGAAGAATCGATGCATTTAATGATGGTGTTGGCAAAGAATATTGAAAGTACCATGAACTGCCAAAAGAAAAAATCTGCCTTAAAAGTGCAGCCAAAGTGCTGCTTAGAGCCAAGGATGATGAGACTACTTCTCACACACCTTAGACATGTTATCAAGAGAGACCAGGCCCTAAAGAAAGAAATGCATAGTAAGGTGAAGGGCCAGTCCAAAATGAGCAAGGCCTTTGACAAGATGCGTTGACACAGTGGGTACAACAATGGGCTCAAACAATGGGCTTGTGAGGTTTGTGCAGGACCGTGCAGTGTTTCCTTCTCTTGGGAATGGGGTCGCTGTGAGTCGGAACTGACCCAAGGGCATCTAACAAAGATAACAAGGTTTAGAAAGGAAAATACTAAAAAAACCCACATGCCCAGAAAGGAATCAATTCATAATCAAACATTTATTTTGCCTTTAATTTTTTAGTTTTCCAGTATTCGTAGTATAATAGTGACCTTTCCCCTGAGTAAAATTACTCACTGATCTCTTTCTAGATGATCAGTGCACATCTCAAGATTTAATATATCTTCTGTGTAAACCTTTCTCCCCCCTCCCCCCAAATCTACTTTTCTTTATTAAATACTTTTATTGGGGACTCTTATATCTCTTAACACAATCCATACATTCATCCAGTGTGTCAACCACATTTGTACATATGTTGCCATCATCATTTTCAAAGCATTTTCTTTCTACTTGAGCCCTTGATATCAGCTCCTCATTCCCCCCCACCCTACCTCTCTCATTAACCCTTAATAAATTATAGATTATTATTTTCATATCTTACATCGTCCTCTGTCACCCTTCACCCACTTTTTCTGTTGTTTATCCTCCTGGTATCTCTCTTCTCATTGTTGGTCCTGAGGGGCTTATCTATCCTGGATTCCGTGTGTTGCAGGCACTTATCTGTGGGAGTGTACATGTTCTGGTCTAGTTCAATTTGTAAGGCAGACTTGAGGTCATGATACTGGGGGGTGGGAGGGGGGGGAAACATTAAGGAACTAGAGGAAAGTTGTGTGTTTCATTGGTGCTATACTGCACCCTGACTGGCTCGTCTCGTCCTTGTGACCCTTCTGTAAGTGGTGTCCAATTGTGTACATATGGGCCTTGGGTCTCCACTTGGCGCCCCAACAATCTGTTCTATTTCTACCTCATTAGAAGACATTACAATCTAAAGGCTTTCATTGCTTGGTAAAGTAGAGGATCAGGGAAAACGAGGAGGACCCTCAGTAAGATGGGATGACATCATGGCTGCAGCATGGCCTCAAACAGCAATGATTATGAGGATGGCAGTCACCTATTTTTGCATGGTGTCATGAGTAGGGATTAATTCAGAGGCACGAGTTTCAATAAAAACAATATAATGGGCTTCAAAAAGTACATGAGAAGTATCCTATTATCTTTTCCGTTGTTTTTTCTTTTTTTTTAATGAACTTTTTAAAGCCCCTTCATCTATGCCTTTTAAGAATCTACCAGGAATTACAGAAGGATAAATATTGTATTACCTCACTATATGAAATAAACAAATTTATATGGGAACCTAGGAGTACTAGTAGTTATCAGGATGGGAACAAGGGAGAGTTTTTCTTAGGAGGCATTACGTGTATATAAATGGAGGAAGAATGATTTGAAAAAGGATAGAATGAATACACACATTGAAGAATATAATATAATCGATGTCATTTCTAATTGTACATGTAAAAATTACTGGTGTATGTTTTGTTAAATATTTTCACAACAATAAAAAATATATTTGAAAAAATTCAGGTGGGGTGGCAGGGGTGGCCAGACTTTACAATCTATCAACTGCTCAGATCCCAAAACTAGATTTCTTAATTCTTCCTACTCATCAACCCTGAGAACCAGTCAAAACATCCTGTCAATAGACTTGCGCAGTGTAGCTTACATTCACCTCTATCTCCATTGATGGCACTCCAGTTACACACCCTCATCTCTCTCTACTGCGTATTGATTGATCTCCATTTATCTATTCTTGCCTCCACACAACAGGCAGTCTAATTATCATTCCTTAGTTTAAGACCCTTAAACTTTCTGGCCTCTTCTATTGTAATCATCCTTATTGCATTTTCCCCTATTGCCCTAGTCGCTCTGCACTTCAGTCGACATTCCTAATTAATTTTACTCTTCTTTCTTCAGAAATATAAGTGTTGATTTATTAAAACAACCATTTCTATCCATGTTATACATAAGTGTGTGTGTGTGTGTGTGTATAGAAATGTTACTAAAATAAATTGCTTCACTATGTTTTTATATGTGTCTATTTGTATCATCCAATTTTAGGAATTCCTTCTTCAGATTCTAAGAATGCAAACCTCTATTTTCTGGATGTTGTGCAACAGGCCAATACTATTTTTCATCTTTTTGACAAACAATTTAATGATCACCTTATGCCACTAATAAGGTTAGTCAAAATCTCTGATTTTCATTTGTATTTCAGTGAATATGGTAAGATTTATAATAGATATTCTTTTTAATCATAAAAGCAAAGCATTCTCATAAAAACTTCATACAGGATAAGATGATGTAGGATAAATGTATTTCTCCTTCCTCTACCCTTTTCATCTTGGGGTATTTTGGTGTGTTAGGAAGGCAATATGTTATAAAACTAAATCTGATAAAGTTCTCTGTACCTACTGTTAAAATAATAAATTATAACAAGCTAAATGAGACTAATAAGACTGATTTTTATGAGTAAGCACTAAGCTTTGATTTATATCTTCGTTTCAATATATATGAAATTTAAAAATATGTGGATTACATAAGAATGCAGCTGACCCTCCTGTGCACTCGCCACTTCTCAGCTGGACTCCTTGCAGTGGCCACAGAGAACTCACAGAGGATGTTTATGATTATAGGGTTAATTAGAGTTTATCAGGTTACAGTGCAGGGAAAAGTGCTCAGGGAAGGGTCAGTCAAGAACTCTGTATTGCCCAGAGGCAGGCCTATATCTGACCCTCAGTCATTTGGTCTGCACTCTGACCTGCTCAGGCAATGTTACAACCCTCTTTTAGAGTTGCCAGTAAATGTGCAAAGGGCATGCCTCCCCATTGTAAGCCTCTACTCTAAGGCACTCTAAGTCAGACCACAGCCTTCAGAGCTCCCCACTCCACAAGCCAGCCTCCGCCTCTGTTTGCTCCTCTGGTGTCAACGCTGTTTCCTGGATCAAGGATGTCCAAAGGGTGCACTTTACTCCTGGCTCTTCATTCTCACTGTATGTAGTAAGATCCCCCTCCTTGCTCCTAGGATGGCTCATTTAATATTTTTCCTCCATTTTTTCCTTTGGGAAATCATTTTATTGGGAGTTAATACAGATGACATTACATAGTTCAATCACATCAAGCAGTATTGTACAATTGCCACCACAGTCAGTTCCAAAAACATCTTTCTTCTTGAATTCCTTGATATCAGCTCCCCTTTATCCCTTCCCTCCCCCTCGGATGGCTCATTTTAGAACCAGCAGGCTGCCAGTCACAATTAACTCTGTGAATCTGAATCAATCCAATTAGCATCTTCTTATCCAGACCCATCAGGAAAACGTGGGTCATTCAGGAGTAATAAACTGACTGAAGAGCCATATTAAAAGTGCATTACAATGTATATAGACATGTTTGACAAAAATTTGTTTTGAAAGGAAATCTTGTAGAATTTACTTTTTAAAAGAGCTATTGTACCATATAACAAAAAATTCACATAACTATTAGAGTTGCATGTCTCTTAATATTTTTGGTGTTTTTGACATTTAAATAGTATTCTCAAGGCAAATATGATCAAATCAGATTTTTTTTTTAATTTGGATAAATTCGTTGTAGCTAGATTGACTTGGCTTTCAGCCTCCAGATTTTAGTCTGAAGGATTTATTATAATTAGTGATACCTGAAGACTTTTCTTATTATTATACCAGATATTTTAGGGGCTCTGATGGCATAGTGGTTAAGTGCTCAACTGCTAACCCAATGGTTGGCAGCTCAAAACCTGCTCAAAGACTTCAATCTGAAAAATTACATAGGTCAGTTATGTTCTGTCGTATGAGGTCATTAAATGTTGAAATCAACGTGACAGTACCCAACAACTGCATATCAAGATATTTAGTTAATAAAGGAAATAAATACTGTAACAGTTTCAACTCAAATGTTTACAGTCTTAAGGAATATCCATCAAACATGAGAATGACAAATCTAAATGTTCCTCTTCTTCTTTGTCTAAACGGGTTCATTGTTCTTAATGTGTGACTGTTGTATTGAATTGGGCATAACTCACCGCCATAGAGTCAATGCCCACTCATCGTGACTGTAGGACAGGGTAGAACTGTTCCTATGGATTTCCAAGTGTATAACTCTGTACAGGATTAAAAAGCTCCATCTTACTCCCTCAGAGCAGATGGTAGATGGCTTTGATTTGCTGACCTTGGGGTCTACACGGCCCCATTAAGGGGGGGGGGGTCATGTTGCATGACCAACATGTAACCACTAAACCATCAGGGCTCCAGCAAATTGGGGATAAGGACAACTAAATTACTACTACTTATATGCTGCTTGGATTCGGGGGGAATATTGAAATAAATTTGTATCTACATGCACACCCACTTCTCACTTATCAACATGATACATTTAAGAGATAGGTCATTATGTGAAACTAGAGGGTGACCCCATCAGATCACAATTGGAGCATGATATGCTGCTCCAGGTATATGCTGCCATGTTTTGTTACTGACACAATACCCAAACCATTTTAGCCCTGCCAAAATGACACATAGTCTTAACCATCACAGCCAGCTAATTCTTGCCTTGCATTTGGACATTCATTACTGCCATGTGTCCTCAATGGACAAAATAGTAGATTTTGTGTCATAGATGTTGTCTAGAGAACAAAATCAGTGACACGCACATTCGTGTATATGAAGGAACTTTGCTTGTATCAGGAAACATTTCATATCAAGGAGGTGTCCAGCACTGCCCAAATGAAGTCCATGGGCAGATGCTAGTCATGTCCTTTTCGGACTCAAGTGCAGGCTGGTGAAGCAGAAGCGGGAAGCAGTGAGATCACAGACCTGTGGGTGCAGGCACATGGATACAAAGTCGGCAATATGGCGGGCCACCAATAGCTCCCAAGGGCACATGGAGTCACCCAGGTGTCAGATATAGATCCCAGCAATCAGGAAAGGTGAAGGACGAGAGAGAAATTTTCACCATCTCTTTCTTTAAAAGGGCCCCACCCTCCAGGAAGAATCACCAGCCTACCTTTTGATTGACAGGCTGGAGTCCACCCAACATGTGCCATCAAGCTGGCAAAATGTTGGACAAGATAGTAGGGAGTAAATGTATTTATAAATGTATGAGATTTAAAAATATATGTGAAGAACTTTTAGAAATTATGACTGTCAGTAATGTGGGTTCTTTCCTTTAAATATTAAATAGCTCTTCTCCTAAGTTATCTGAATGCCTTCAGAAGAAAAAAGAAATAATTGAGCAAATGGAGATGAAATTGGATACTGGCATTGATCGGCAAGTTGCTAGCTTTATGTTTTCTCTTGATTTTTCTTTTCAACTGTAAAAGTACTATGATAATAGAAATAAAGCATTTTTAAAAGGAAAAAAAATCTTAATTTCACAATTTTACTCTAACAGGTGATTTTATTTTTATATATTGCTTTTATTCTCTATTATTGGTTCGTAGTATAGATCAATGGATCTCTATTATTTGGGGCACTGGCTAAATATGTAGCACATACCTGTGAATTTATATTTGTTAATGATGATAATAGCTATCATTTATTAAGTACTTTCTAGTTGCCAGTGCAAGAACTTTTTATACATGAGGGCTTCTGAAAGTTCATGGGAAAAATGGAGTTAAAAAACAATTTTCCTACAAAATGTTTTAAATCCTCCTATATTAATCTTTCATATTAAGTAGTAACCAATATTTTCATTATAGGTGATTGAAAACTTAAAAAGTGATTTTGCAAGATCAGCCATGCTAAGCTTTGGGTATTTCTCTTTTATTTGATGTAATTCTACTCTCTTTTACTCAAGAATGCCCATTTGAATTCATGTTAGTGATAGTATTGTTATGAGGAAAACTTGGGATCCACTCTAATTTACAAAAAATAGCAAATAATTTTTACTTCATTGTTAGTAAGAAAATGTTTGTAACTCCCTTTCTCAATTGATTTCAGCACCAAGAGAACTGCTTTAAAGTATTTTAATAATAAGGGGGGGAGAAACAGTTGAATAAAACTGGAAAAAATAAAGATGTTATAGAATTTTTTATACTCGTTTACTGAAGACTTTCATGCATATGAGAATCCCAAAAGCTGATCTTTCTCCTTGTTTTTAGAAAGTAGCCTGCTAGGTTATACATACACCAAACTTTATTTACTGTATATACTTGTGTACAAGCTGAGCTTTTCAGCACCTTTTTTTATGCAGTTTTTGTGGTAGAATTAGGTGCCTCGGCTGATATTCGGGTCGGCTTATGCTCGAGTGTATACGGCAATAAGTATTTCAGCATACCGTAGTGTGATCATCAGTGCCAAGAAGCATTTATCAGGGGACTTCAAAAAGGTTGTGAGATGATTGCGTAATCTTTTAATTCTATTTTTCCATGAACATTTTGAAGCCCCCTGGTACTTTACAATCTCTAAATCTTTCCTATTGAAAGCTTAAGTCCATGTCTTCTAATGCTTCACTTCAGAATAGCTGAAAATCTTTTTTTTTTTTAAGATAGGGAATTTGGATATATTATGCTTTCAGAAGTAATGAAGTATCTGTTTTCTAGTTTTCTCTATAACTTGGATCATTTTCCATCTTTTTATACATTCTACAAATCTCTGCATTAGTTCACACGTAAACAGCACAGAGCACTCTTAAATGTGAGCCTCTAATTCTCCCTTATCTGTGGGTCATAGTTCAGAAGGAGCACTCGGCATTCTTCTGCAACCATGTCGATATATTGACTAGTACTCTCATAATATTAGATCCAAACTCTTTTGTCTTTGAACCTCACATACTCTAGTTATACCATAAGATTCCTTTCTGTACTGTTGTTTTATTAAACATTTGTGTCAGTTCGTTACATCTAATTGAGGATTTGTGATCCTGGCTCACCACCTTTCTTTTAACTAATTCTTAGGTTAATTCTACATCCATCACATCATCCATGCAGTTCTTTATTTTTCTTCCATGAGCCTAAGTATTCCTCTCTCTGCCCACAACCTCTTCTATACTATAACTCAACTCCTTCATTCTCCCTCTTCCTATTTTCTGGGCTCAGCAGGCTTTCGAGACTTTGATGTCTTCCTTTCTGCCAATCTGTCTTAGCCTTTTCGGAGCTTTACTTCCTTCATTATTTTGCTTAGGTCCCTTGGCCCATTTCTTGAATTAATCCCTTGCTAGTACCTTAAAATTTATCTTCTGTAACCCACCACTACTTTAGATATTAAACTCTGAGTCACTGTAGCCTCTTGTAATTCCTATAGCTGGATGAATGGTTGCTGTTGAAGTATATCACTCGTGTTACTGTGACCATTATAAATCCTGCCCTCATTTCTCACGTGGGCCTTCAGTACCTCTTGTCCTTCCTCCTGTGTCTCGTTTGGTATTGAGATTCATGTTCCTTTATTTACCACTTGTCAAGCAGTCCTCTATCTTTCCACCTTCCTAAGCATTTTCTGTGTATAATTTTGTCTTTGAAGATCCTTAGATGTTAAGGAAAATAAACTAATGTAAAGTATCTGAGATCTTTACTATTGTCTTAAATATAAAGTATTATACAAATGAATCTTTGTGATCTGATTTGAGCAGGAACATAAAGTTGAGAGCTCTTTGATGTCTTTTTAAAAAAATGTAAGTCTACCATTAGTAAAATGTTTTAAGGGGATATATTTAATAATTTAGTGTGAATAATATACTGTACGTACTCGTGTATAACCCGAGTTTGTCAGCACATTTTTAATGCAGTTTTTGTGGTAACATTAGGTGCCTCGGCTGATACTCGGCTTGGCTTATACTCAGGTATATATGGTACATAGAAACAAAGGTAAATAGCTTAAAGGGATAAAATACATTGTATTCTCCATCCTTTAGAACATTAAATTGTATGATTGGACAAATGAAGCATATTTTGGCTGCAGAACAAAAGAAAACAGATTTTAAGCCAGAAGATGAAAACAATGTTCTGATTCAATATACTAATGTAAGTTAAATGATTCAATTTGTTAGTAAAAATAACTACTAAGTTAATAATTTTGTTAACATTTCCATTGTATCTATGATATTAAAAGTATTTTTTAAATACCTAGAGATTAAAGAGAAATTACATGTATTTTTATTTAGTTATAATGGTAAATATTTCTATATAATAAGTATAGAAAAATTTTACAGGCCTGTGTTAAAGTCTGTGCTTACGTAAGAAAACAAGTGGAAAAGATTAAGAATTCTATGGACGGAAAGAATGTGGATACAGTTTTAATGGAACTTGGAGTACGCTTTCATCGACTTATTTATGAGCATCTTCAACAATATTCCTACAGTTGTATGGGTGGCATGTTAGCAATTTGTGATGTAGCTGAATACAGGAAGTGTGCCAAAGACTTCAAGGTACGTTCTAATAAGTATCAAGCTGGTAAATAGATTCAAAAAACATACCTAAGGCCATTAAAAATATGGATTATTTGTAACTGAAAATTTTATAATACCTATAGTGAAATGGCTCTAACATATTTGTCCTTCATAAAGTGCTGCTCCAATCATATTTCCAATATTAAAATTTTTTCTTTGTGCTTTATTCAGAGAAGGCCATACATAATTCAGTCCCATTGTTCCAAATGGCCTTGTCCACTTGTGTGGGTAATGCCATATATATTATCAGTAAGATTAGATGTTTTTTCTTTGTGTACATCTTTTCTTACCATTTTTCTGTATGGTTTAAATTGTTTTTTTAAAAACACATTGTATTAATAACTAGTCTTAGTCCATAAAGTATAAATGATGGTTATTGTTGAAAAAAATGTTTATGTATACTGTTAACATTGTACAAGAGTATAGCTTCCAAAACCTTTTAGTTTAAGAGTTTCAGAAAGTTTTAAGAATTCTAATTTACTGAACTCCCACACTCATTAAGTCCTTATGAATATATATTTTTTTCAGTGTTATTTTTCTTTCTCTCCTCTCATTTCAGATTCCACTGGTATTACAGCTTTTTGATACTCTGCATGCACTTTGCAATCTTCTAGTAGTTGCCCCAGATAATTTAAAGCAAGTCTGCTCAGGAGAACAACTTGCTAATCTGGACAAGAACATACTTCACTCCTTTGTACAACTTCGTGCTGACTATAGATCAGCCCGCCTTGCTCGACATTTCAGCTGAGATTGAATTTACAAGGGAAATGTGTTGTACTTTGACACAGGCCTCATTGGCAGAAAGCACAGGAGATTCCTTGTGATAACAGCCAACATTTTATGGAAAAATGACTATTTGGAAACAAACAGCAGCCATACTTACCCTTGAGATTTTATTTGAAATTTAGACTCCACTAACCTTATTTCTCCTTTTCCCTTTAAGTTAAATTTTTATTCCATCCTTGAACTTAAAAACTTTTAATTCTGTGAAACTTCATGTCACTGTTTGCCTCCTGGAAAAACGTTGGTATCAGAAGACAAATGACGCATTACTAATGTTTGTTTCTTCTCTAACATATTCTATTTGGAAATATCACCATCCCATTTTGCATTAATAATGGCTGAAGTACAGCAAAATGATTTTTTTTAATCAAATTTTTAAAGACCTTTTCAGCACTAGTAATTGGTAATCAATTTATTTTAGGATTTCTAAAGAATATTTTGCCTCTTTCAAAGGGTTAACGATTTCACATAATTTCTCTAGTTGGTTGGTTGAATTTTTCTGGGGTAAAACAAAAATATTGTCCCAAGAAAATGTTATAAATAAATGAAACTAAAATGATGACATATTTTATGTAGATATTTAGGAATGTATCCGAATACAGCTGGTTTCTGGATAAAACAACAAAAGTTTGCTATTTCTTATTTGGTAAACAGATTTTAAGCCAACTTTTAAAGGAAAGAAAGAAAACTACCTTATTTTATATTTCACTGAAGTTAAGACATTAGTTAAAGGACCGTATACCTTATTCTAATATTACCAGGAATTTAAAGGGAGAAGTATGGTCTAAGTAGGAAGAGAAATACTGGCAGTGCTTAGCAACAATGCAGTCCTTTAAGATTTCTGTCTTAATGCTAAGCTTGCATAAGATGGGGTGGATAAACCTGCACATAATTAGAATTGATAACATTTGTTTAGAGATGATCTTTGAAAAATCAGTTCCTTTTCATATATATAATTTCTGTCATTTGTCTTTCACAAGGCATTTCTGAAGTGATTCTTATTGGGTATTAATATAATGACAGAATAAATCATTTAAACCAAATTGTAAACATCCTGTGGAAATTTGGAAATGCTGCGATTCTATAAACTCCATAAACTTGTGCTGCAAGAATGCATTCCAAACTCCATGTAGTGTTTCAGTTTCCATTGTATTCTTGTTCATAGTCTTCTGGGGACACAAACTTTAATATCACACTCATTCTATTGACACCCCCCCCCCTTTATTTTAATGTAGGCTTTTTTGTCTAATTCTGAACAACTGCCTTTTTTTCCCTGAGAATCTATTTATGAATGGTCGTCTACTTTATGAAACTTCCAGGTCCAGAGCTACCTACCATTTTTATGTTACTGTCAAATGAATTTTCTTCATTTTCTGTTTAACCCAGTGTTATCAAGGTAGGCAAGGAAAATGAAGTATGCCAACGTTTGTCAGAGCATCCGAGGAAACCATGGCAGCTTTTGAACTAAGCTGTTAGTACTTCTCTATTCCTTAGCAAAGAGAGCTAAAGCAGGTTTGGATGCTAAAGAAAGTCATACTTAATCATTGATGCCATTTTAGAAAGTACTGGTGTGAATCAAATTATACCTCTGCTACCTAAAGCCAATTTTAAGGCAGTAGTTTTACTGGCCATTTGAACTCTTTGTAACAAACACTGTGTCAATTTGTTTTTTTTTTAAAAAAAATCTCAAATAAAATATGTCAACATTTTAAAACTTCCAGTCAGAGCAGCAATTCAAGTTCTGTTTGGGTTTGTTTTTAGAATGTAGTGTATATACTGTTGCATAGATGTTTGCGTTAATTATTTTCATGCTTGAGTTCCGTGCAATATTTTTCATATGTCCACTGTCAGGGCAGTGATAAAGAGAACTCGTAAGTGAATTTTTAATTTAGAAGTGTTAACCACAATTACTCAATAAATAAATTCCCTCTACTTGTTTTTTTTTTTAGTCATTTCATTCCATTTTTATATTTTTTAAGACATTCATACTGAAGTCTATAAATCGTTTTTATTTAAATATTTAAGGTATTTCTTTATTGAAAGGAAAACTTGACTTTATAACTAAAAGTAGACAATTAAACATTGCTTTTCTGTAAGAATAATATGTTCTGTGAAATTATGTGTTCTTTATAATCTGTCTTTTAAAGAAGTTTTCATATTGAGAACTGTCTCAAAATTTTGTCCCAAATTAATATGATCATGAAGTAATTTTTTTCATTATGTATTTGGTAAAATTTTAGGTAGAGATAATGGAGCTTGGTATATTAGTAACTTGATCCTATACTTAGCAGGAGGAATTTTTGTAATATTCCACTGTTCTTGATGAGCTATCATGAACTATTTGAACACTGAAATTAGAATCCAAAATGCTGTGAATTGTTTTCCAAAATTGACTACATTACATTCACAGGTAGAGTGAATGTTTTATGTATACAGAAAGTAAAATACAGAACACCAGCCTAACAAGGTCATCTAGCTTCCACAAACGATGATTCTGAAAGTGGTAGTCAACCAAAATAGATGAGACGCCTACACAAAGAATTTTTTTTTTTTGTAATTTATTCACTCTTCATTTATTTCAGTTTTTCTGTATCAGGAGTGTAGCATCTGCCTTTTTTAAAAAAATCATTTTATTAGAGGCTCATATACCACTTCTCACAATCCATCCGTCCATCCATGTTGTCCAGCACATTTGCACATTGTTGCCCTCATCATTCTCAAAACATTTGCTTTGTACTTGAGCCCTTCTGTCAGCTCCTCATTTTTTCCTTCCCTGCTCCCCTCTCCCTCATGAACCATTGATAATTTATAAATTATTATTATTTTGTCATGTCTTACACTGCCTGACGTTTCCCTTCACCCACTTTTCTGTTGTTCATCCCCTAGGGAGGAGGTTATGTCGATCCTTGTAATCAGTTCCTCCTCTCTACCCCGCCTTCTCTCCACGCTCCCTGTATCGTCAGGCTGGCCTTTCGTCCTGAGGCGTATAATCTAAGGTAAAAGCCACTTGAATCTTGCAACTCGGGACCATTCCAAGATAATTTTTGACTTCTTTTGAGGATTACCACATTTGCAAGTACCTAGGAACTTAACATATTTTTAACGAGTTTCTAAAATAGCTTATAATATTTTCAACCATTTTATTTCCCCTTTCACTTTTAAAGATTTCACTATCTGGTCCACATTGAACTAATTTATTAGTAAGTAGATACATTCCAAATAGGCAGTTTACTGCTTCCTTAAAACATTATTTTTCACTTAAGATGATAAATGTTTTTAAGTATCTAAGTAAAGGGATTTGGTTTCTGAAATGCCACAAAACCTCTTAAGGGTTCTTGTTTATAAAGTAGTTCCTAGTAGCCCAGGTAATGGAACCGTGGTGGTATAGTAGGTTAGGTGTTGTGCTGCTAACCACAAGCTTACCAGTTCTAAACCACTAGCTGCTTCACAGGAGAAAGTGTTAGATCTCTCTGGAGCTAGATTTAACCCTCGGTACTTGGCTCCGCAGAAGCCTGGTTTGTGATCGAAGTGAGTTTTATGAGGGTTAGAAGTTTCAGGTTTACACGGCACCCAAGGGGCTCCTCCCGGACATGCGGCCTGGCTGGAAGCGGCTAGGCGTCCCAAAGCTCTCTGCGCCTAAGTGTTCTCTCTCTCT